CCTGGAAAGTCATGTTGTTGCTCATGCTGGTTCCTTAATTTGTAATGAAATTGTAAATCCTGGTGTGGCTAAAATCCACAGTAAGCAATGCAGTTTATCCCATAACACACACACACACACACACACCACCACCACCACCACCACCACCACCACCACCTCCACCAAAATATTCGATGAAATATATATTTTTACAGAATTGCTGATATTTTCCATTCATTCTACCCCATTCCATTTAAACTTACTTTTAAAAAAAGTAGTTTCAACCCACTAAGTTGAATTCATGATGCACTAATGGGTTGTTGTGACCTGTATTTTAATAAATAATGTTTTAATGGCCAACCTTCTCACTGAAATCTTTGTCTCAGGTCCAAGCCATAGGCTGCCTGAAATCTTCATTCCTTCATTAATTTTCAACAACCAACATCTGCTATTGTCTGCCCTGGGCTGCCCTGTATTGTGTGCTGAGAAACAAAACCACATTAGAGGCAGCGCCCATGTGTGGGCTCAAGGAGAGGCATTTGCAATTGGAGACATGGCTCCATTTTTGAGCTCTGAGCACTTTGTCCCTCCTTCTCTTCAGGCCCCCAGCAGGGTCTGACTGGCTCCTTGATCCACTCTATCATTCCTTGTGGCTCACTCTGCACCAACCCCTCCATTGGCACTGAGCATCCAGTGACAAAAGAGGAACAGACCCACGAAGGGCCCCCAAAGAAATGGGGTGAGACGCACGTCTTATTCCTCCATTCCTGGGGCAAAGTTTTGGTGGTTCTGTCCCTCTCCAAGCCTACCTAGTCTCTCCTTCTCATAGGATCTGATCCCCACTACAGGACACCACCTCTTCCTGCTTCCTTTCTCTGATGTTACCTTCGGGGGCCCCTCCCCTTAGTCTTTTTCCCCCCCTTCGTTTATTTAGTTTTTTTATTTTTATTTTTTTAATGTGGTGCTGGGGATCAAACCCAGTGCCTCACACATGCTAGGCTAGCGCTCTACCACTGAGCCACCATCTACCATCCTCTCTTCTTAGTGTTAATAGTAGGCACCTTTCATTGCATTCTGCCCATGACTGCAGGGGAGATAGGTGTTTCACCCGGCAAATGCCCAGGCACCCAGGCCAGGAGAGAAAAATAGTATTCAAGCTACTTCATCTGGTGACAGTGATACCCATGCCTGATATGTCCCTTTCTACCTTGGATCAGCTGAGGTCATTGCACCTCTGCCACTTTATATGGCAGCAAGGAACAGCAGGGTCAGAATGTCAGAACTGTTGTATTCATGAGACCTGTCCTGAGTGTGTGCACTGAGCCAGGCCTCATGCTGGGCTCTAGGGACACAGATTCACTAGAATGGGCCTCTGATGGAGGCTGTCCTCACTGAAAGTCTACCTGGCAGTACTTCTGCCTTGTTCTGAGTCAGCCTCTGGTATCCTCCATGGATGCCAGCTGGATCAGAGCACACTGTGCTTGACTGGGGCCCTCACATCCCAAGAGATGCTACCCATCCCTCCCCGAGACCGTCCCTGTTCCCTCACCTCTGGCACCAGTGGAGGTACTTAACAGAAGCATGGGACTCCTGCCACCTCATGTAATTCCTGGTATCATGTGTCTCTTTGGAGAACCTCCTGCCCAGCCTCCGAGGACATCCTGGACTCTGAGAGCTGGCCCTCTGGCATCTACCACTGAAGGGTGGTCCAGCCAGTTCTAAGGCCTGGGCTTGAATTCCTTACCCTAGAGACTCCCTGGACCTGACCCATGGCTGGGAATCTACAGAGTGAAGGACTACACCTCTGAGGCTCCCCTTTCCTGACGGTCTCAGGAGTGCTGTTGGGTTTCTGGGTATCAGCCTGCATCTTGGAGCCCGTTAAATGGAATCCCAGACATTATTGCACAGCATATGGGGTGTAGGAGGATATAGGGTTTTGTCCCTCAGATACAGGCCTTGTTATTGTCACACACAGGCACTGAGTCAGGTCTGCCTGTCCATCATAAATTCCACTTCTGGAGAAGTGCCTCCGGATTCCTCTCTAACAAGGACCCTGCTGACAGCTGACTGGGAAGAATGTGACCTTTTTTTCTTCCTCAAATAATGATTCAATAGTCTAAACCTGGCTCTTCTCTGGATGACTGTTGGACTTTCCTAGAGGGCAGGTTAGTATCAAGTCTTTCTTCCAATTAAGAAAGTGGAATTGGAAACTCATTTTAATATCATCATCATCATCAGCAGCAGCAGCAGCAGCAGCACCACCACCACCACCATCATCTTGTAATTAGCAAATATTCTGTGTAGGTTGAGCCTTTATGCAATTTTTCTCCCATTTAATCCTTATGGCAACACTGTAATATAGATTTTATCACTCCAGTCTTACAGTTGAAGAGACCAGAGCTCTGAGAGGTTAAGGAATTTTCCCAAGGACACACAGTCTAAACCAGGTTTGTCTGATTCCAAGGCTTGTTCTATACTCACTGTGACATGCTGCCACTATTAAAACCATCATTTATTGATCACCTGCAAAATACTCAGTCCTGGTTTAGGTGCTTTATTTTAGTTAATAAACATGCACTAGAATGGGTCTCTGATGTAACTTTTATGTAACTAGTTACTATTATTGCAACTCATAGCTAGAGGCCACTACACAAAAGTTATATCATTTCCTCAAGGTCACACAGCTAGGGGAGGTAAATCCAGGGCTGAAATGCTGGGCTGTTCCTGTTAGACCCCACTCCCCTACCTCAGAGGAAAAACATCAATGGCTTGAACTTGCTAACCGACTTGACTTACCCCAACTGTGCTTCTGTACTTCTGGCACGGATCAAGGACACCAAATAGATGGCCTAACAAGAAGGGCATCTGGTGCCTCATGTTTCTAGGTTATTAGTCACCTCGGCTGGTTTTACATAGAGTCTGTTTGAGGATCCTAATTGACAGACAGCTGTCTCTTCTGAATCTACATCCTCTGGTGAGGAGCAGAGACATAATGATTTAGACAAATGTTAGGTAAAAGGAATTTTTACAGTAACATTCTGGAAGCTTCTATTATCTATTCATTTATAGAGCAAATACCATATTCTTGGCCCTGCCTGAAGTATTACAGGTTTGGAGAGATGAATGGTCCCTGCTTTCAAAGTGTATGTAATTTAACTGAAGGTGACAGCTATATAAACAATGATCTGGAGCTGACTTCTGCTTTTGCTACTCATCCGCAGTGTGATTTTCTGGCCAAGATAAATGAATAGTTTCTCTTCACTCTTTCTGCTCCTGGATCCACCACTTGATTGGCTCTGTGAATGTGAAAGGTCACCCCCTCCTCAGGTCCTCCATATGCGTGGGTCAGGTGGAAGAGTGTGCGCTGTAATGCACCTTTAAAGGTGTGACACGTGTGTTAGGCCCCCCCTTGCTAGGCTCAAAGGACTCTCCCACTCACTTTTCCCAAATGCCATGCTCCTTGCAAGGACGGGCTGGGGCAGTGGAAAGGGGTAGGCTCTGACAGACCTACTAGCCTGCACCCTGGCTCCATCATGTACAGGAGTGAGGCCTTCTCCTTGGTGTCTCCAGTTACCTGGGAAGATAGGAGCCACCTCACAGGGGGCTCTCATGGCTCCTTCTTCAGTCTCTGCCACCCCAGCTCTTACATGTGCTCCTGGAGCAAGCATTCATTCATGTACTCTTACATTCAGCCAGTGCCTGTTGTTGATGGTTTTCCAAAGCAAGAACTTTAGGTCCTAACCATTGCAAGAGCTCCAGAATTATTTAAAATGATTCCCAAAGTCACACAGTCTGAGGTCATTGCACCTCTGTCCTACTGTCCCTCTTTGTCCTTCCCCTGCTTAAAGTGGAGGTTGTCTCTCACTCCCACCCTGCTCCTGCTCTCAGGTCCTTGTTCTGGTGGAGAGACCATCATCTATCTAGGCCTCCAGGAGGAGGCCCCTCTCTTCAGCACCCCTCACACCCAAGCAGTGACCAAACTCTGCTGTTGTCCCTGTTCCCACCTTTGTCAATTTCCATTGTCCCCCAAGAACAGCGACCCTCTGGCACAGAAATCATGAACATAGAAGCACACAGTCTAATTGCTAAATTAACTGTGCTGACTTGCAGAGAAAGCTCTGCATCTGGGAGGCTTCCCTACATTGGAAGACTTTCAAAAGAATTTATTATAAATTGCCCCTCTTGGATACTTCATCCTGGTTCACTGTCCTGACCTGGGGAGCAGAGGATGTTTTTTGCTGCTCCTGTTTACTGTCATGCCTCAGGGTCTTAGCACGAGCTCTTTCTTCTCCTTGGAACCCCCTCTCTCCCTTTCCTTGTTAACTATATCACAACTTTAAGACTTGGATCTTAAGTCTTGGTCTTCCGCCCACCTCAACGTACCTCCTCCTCTCTGCACCAGAGTACCCTAGGCACATATTTTTGGCCAAGTATACTGTAACTGTTCCCCCACATTTTTAATCCCTCAGTGGACTGTGAGTGACCAATACACAGAGACTGTTCTACTCATCTCTGTGATCCCAGCATGCAACCTGGCACAGAATAGATCTCAGTAAGAAACTGTCCAACAGACGACACAACTGGAAACGGAAAGAACACGTGGGCATGTGGCCCTGGGGCAGAGCAGATGCACCCCTCCCTCAGCCTAGCAAAGTTTTCTGGAAGCTAGCTCGGAGGGTGAGCAGTGTCAAAACCCTTCAGCTCATCTGGAGACCACAGGATCAGGAAGAGCTGACTGCAAAGTGGGTATTGATCCAAGCTTCCCCTTGGACCTTTGATTTTTCACTCTTTCCATCTATCACCCAGCAGGAGCAACACAACTTTGCTCATAAAAGTTCTGAATGCCTTGGATAGCAGTTTTATTAATGTGGATACCTGAGGTTGCTGTTCTGCCTCCTCTGACATTCCATCAGGAACCTTTGAGGCCCACCCTTCTGGCCTCCTCCCACCCAAAAGTAGCCCTGGAGGTGATTTGGTTCTCCCTCAGAGAGTTTCCACTGGAGCTGGGCCCATGGACTCACCCTCCATCAAAGGGGTTCTCCCCAGGGATGACGTGTGTGCTGTCCCTGCCCACGAGGAACTTGATGCGGTCATAGAAGGAGTGTAGGTTCTGCTGGGACACAGGGGCCTGTGTCTCCTGGATGATGTCCAGAGGGTCAGGGGAGCCCAGGCACAGCGGGTTGACATGACAGAGGGGCTGGAGGCAGCAGTCAGGGTCCATGCAGTCCACCAAGCCATCTGCAGGGTGACAGAGCATGTGGTTTATAGTGCTGTGTTCAGTTAGCCCTGTTTGCCTACAACGCCTGCATCCACTTCTTCCCTATGTTCTACTCACTAACTTTAAGTGCTGATATAAGCCAAAGCCTTTACTGGGCACCAAGGAGATCCAGGTACTTCAAGTCTGGCCCCAGCCCACCAATCTAATAGGAGAGACAGATAGGTAAGTGTACTGTCTTTTCTTTTTTTCTTCTTCTAAAGAGACAGCAGGAACAGTATTATGAAGGTCCAGAGGTGAGAAAATACATGGACACCTGAGTTGCCCAAGACAAGGCCCCTGGGTTGGCAGGAGCTGACTGGGCTGGGCCTGGTAGGCCAGGATAGGGAGTGTGCACTTCATCCTCAGGACAACGGGGGACACCTAATGGGTTAAAGCAGGAGGTTAAAGTGGGATGTGCATGTTGAAGCAGAAGGGAAGTTGGAGTTCAAGGAGGAGGAGTGGCACTGAGGCTGCATAGGTGAAAAATGACAGCCTAGGCCAGCGCAGTGACAGGGGTGGCTGGAGAAGTGGATGGGTTTGAGGAGAAACTCCAGGACCTGGGGACTGCCTGGCTCTGGGTGAGGATGCGGCAATGATGATGAAGGTGTGTGGCATCTCTCCCAGCTGCCAGGTGACCACATGGCCTGAGGCCTAGTCCTCTGCCTGTGGAGGCCCAACTCCCCCTCCTGTGAGTTGTCATTTGCAGGGATTCTCTTTACTGTAGGATGGCTTCTTCAGGACTGCATTATAGCAATACCATCTTCCCAAAGTGCAAAGGAAGAAATTCTACCGGATCACAGATTTTTGACCTCATTACCCCAAAGTACTTTTACAGACACCCAATAGAATGGCTTCAAATGAGACATGATCCCAGAGAACAGTGCCCAAAGTAGGGGACAGCAAGAGTCCAGGGTGATGGTCTGGGTTTTGCAGGCAGAGTGTGATGATGTGTATTCCTGCCTGGGTTCAAATTCTGGCTTTACTGCCTATTAGCTGTTTGACTTGGGATAACTGTTTCCACCACTTTGGTCACAGATCTCTTCTGGTCATCTGTTCCACCCTTAGCACTTAGTAGGCATACTTAAAAACATGATTGTTAAATGAATAAATGAAAACTGAATGAATTTATTCACAAAGGAAGAATGGGCTGAGAATAAATGCTAGTCTATAAAAGCCAGAAAACCATATCTTTAGTCAATTCCATTAAGCAACGTGAAAGGATCATGAGACACTGAGACTGAGGTTCAAGTCCTGCTGTTGTCCCTAAGATTGATCCTGGACAAGTTCCTGTACTTAATCTCCCTGAACCCCTGTCTCCTCATTAATAATGTGGAAGTACTGCTCAGATATCCACCTCCTTCTGTCTCCATGGAGTTCATTGTATAAAGGCTACTGCATATACCTTGACTAGACTGGGGCCCTGTCCTCCTCACTAGCTGTATGGCTGCAGGCAAACTTGTCCTGAAGCCCAGTTTTTTTTTTTTCTTTTTTTCCTTAAATAAATTAGGGACAAAAATTCCCTGCCTTTCTCTCCCATTTCTGCATGGCGTCTTAGAGCTTGTCACCTCTTTCATGGCAGCACAGTGAAAGAGCACATGGATTCCAGAGCCAGATGGTCTGGGATTCTAAAATCTGGGTTCTAAAACTTACCATTGTGTCACCGTGGGCAAGTCACTTAAACCCTCTGGTCTTGGTTTCTTACATCTCTTAATGGGGGTAATAGGAGTAAATGTCATATAGGTATTTGTTACTTATTTAAATGTGTAGTACTAGTCCACAAATAGTACCTGATACATAGTAGGTGCTTCATAAAGGTATCTTCCCTTCCTGATCCTGAACCTAGAACATGGCTCATCAGATGAAAGGCCATCCCTTCAGTCTCACCTGGCAGATTTAGTCTGGGACATGGGGGAAGGTCTCCCTTGCCCCAGCACTGTTCTGGGCCTTAACTTGTTGCTTCTGTCCCCACCCCAGATGCAACTGCCTGGCAAAGCACTGTCCTCTCCTGCAGTCGGCAGGCTCCATCACACATTCCTGGGCTGCCCCTGTCAGGCATTGCTTAAACACATAATTATAGCCCAAGCAGAGGGTTATTTGCATTCTGCTATTGATGTTAGCATGACAGATTCAGCTGCTGCATCCATAACTCTGCAGAAATGCTCCATTATTCAATCCCAGCGAGCAGGGATGTTGACCATTAAATCAGCTAGCACAATTGAAGGGCCGTGAAAAGTCATGGCTAATTTGAAATTTTATTAGCTCTTGCCTGCTCTTGTTTACCACCAAGGCAGTCCCTGGAAGCCAGTCTTTTACCTCTTTATAAACACTGCTTTGTGGCACTTGGGCAGAGCCACCTTCTGCTGAGGAGGAATGTCTGCTCTTGAGCCCTGGGTAAGGTTGGCCAGGAGTGGTGGTGGTGTTTATTAATATCAATGTTAAATTGATGATAAAGATAAATCACTGCATGCATCAAGTGCCACGCATTGTTCTTGCTAATATTTTATAAGGAATATGTCATTGAATTCTCCCATCCTATAAGGTAGCCATGGTTGTCACCCTCATTTTAGAGAAAAGAAACCAGAGGCTCAAAGTGGTAAAGTAACTTGGAGAAGATCATACAGATAGTTGGTGAAAGAGCTGACTCAGGATTTGAACTCAGTTCTTTCTGAGGTGTGGCATTTTCTTTGAGTTCCCCAGAGACACTTAGATGTTATGAGAACATGATTTTATGAATGTTACTGAAACACTATTCTTCATCATCCTGGGGAAATTCCATTCCAGAATGACTCTCCCCAGAACTATAATTTGACTATTCTCTCTGTCTTCTTCCCCAGACAATGAGCTCCCAGAGGTCCATTGCTGTGTGGTTCATTTCAATATCTCAGGGCCCAGAACTAAACCAGAACAAAGACTGTCCTCCACAAAGATCTGAAAAATGGATAAAGGACTTATCTAGTCCAGGGCTGCTTCTCTGATCTAGGATCAGAGTCACAGGACACTAGAGCTTAAGGGATCCTTTCACTGTGTCTTCAGTGGCATAGTGCACTGTGCTTAAGAGAGCCCTCTCTCAGGCAAACTGCCGGGATTGGGTCCTGATTCCCATGGAAGCTGTGTGACCTTGTACAAGCTGCTTAACTTCTTTAAACGTCAGGCGCTTATAAAGAGAGTCAGAGGAAGATGGTTAATTCCTTAAACTTACAATCTGCCCCTGTAGTCAGGAGTGAAGCACAAAACTTCTCTTGGGTGTCTTGTGACAATGAGACAAAGATTTTCCAGGGAACTGTTAGGCTGGCAATTTGTCTCTGAGCATATGACCCCAATACAGGCATGCTCCATGCAGTGAGTGAGATGCCGAACCACGAGCCCTTTAATGAGGACTTTTTTTTGTGAGTTCTGGCAGTTCTGCTTTAAGCTCTTAAAATAGTCTTCTTTCCCTTTCTCTCTAGTCTTTTCTTCGGGAATATTATTAAACGCTTAAAGGACTTTCAATCTTTCATGTCTCTCAATCTCTCTCTCAATTTCCATCCTTTTATCTGTGTCCCCTTCTGATTTATTTCCTCAGATCTGTATTCTACTTCACTTATCTTTCCTTTATTTGTGTCTGGTCTGCTGTTTAATTTGTCCTTTGGATCATTAATTTAAATTACCCATACTTAAAAATTTCCAGATAGTCTCTTTGGAATTTTTCTTTTTTCTTTGGAACTTTTCAAAACCTGCCTGTTTCATTCTTGATAGCATCCTCTTGCATCCTTATGTTTTTTTTTTAATATTTTTTAGTTATAGATGGATGCAATATTTTATTTCACTTATTCATTTTTATGTGATGCTGAGGATGGAACCCAGTGCCTCACATGTGTGAGGCAAGCGCTCTGCCACTGAGCCACAACCCTAGCACCCCCATCCTTATGGTTTTAAATATCATTGTATCTCTTTAGTCATTCGAAACTTATTATGTTATAGCCTCTCTCAGATTGTTACGTTCTTGGGAGTGGCAAGCTTTTTGTATTCTGCAGCTGTTGACTGCGGCCGGGGCCACTCATGTCCTGTGTGTTCTATGATTCTGCTTGTGATCCCCAGAGCAGCTTCCTTTTATACAGGTGATCTCATGTGGTTAAATGAACCCTCCGGAGTGGTTTCTGGTTATTTCTGTTTGCCACCTCAGAGGTACCATTAGTCTGGTTCATTTCAATATCTCAGGGCCCAGAACTAAACCAGAACAAAGACTTTGTTTCCCCTTTATTTTATTTATTTATATGTGGTGCTGAGATTTGAACCCAGTGCCTCACACATGCTAGGCAAGCACTCTGTCACTGAGCTACAACTGTAACCCAGGGGACCACATTTTGGGTAGAATGCTTAACAAAGTATTCTAGCGCCACTCTGGTAGGTAAGGACTTCAAGAGCTTTGTCGTGTAGGCTCTATTGCTTATAGCAGACTCTCCCTGCCTGCTGTCCTCTAGAACCAGGGCAGAGCCATGCCTCAGTGTCACTGCTCTAGTCGAGTGGGTAGTGTTTAGTCCCAGCCAGTGGGGCTCAGTTGCAATCGTCTTCCGTGAGTGTGCCCTGCCTCCTGGCTCTACGATCCTATCACACCTTGTATGCCTGCTGCTCTGACTTTCAATTATTGCTTCTGGGACCCAGGGTTCCCTGGTTTCCCCTTTGTTTTTTTGCTGAGTTCTTAAAAACAAGTTGCTGTGTCTTATAGTCAGAGGGTCCTGGTGATATTTTGGACATTTTGCTAGAAATAAAAGTCGCAGCAAAAGCGCTGAGCTTTGGTTCTATCATCAAACCTATCATCAAACTTAGTTTGCAGAGATGCTGTGGGGATTAGGTGAGGTCAGGCATGTGAAGCACTTGATAAGGAACATATGGTAAGTAGCACATAAGTAAGGATTTGGCAAGTTACAGATATCAGCAGCTCCTGGCCAGTTGCTTCCGTGACCTGGTATCCTGGTAACAGTGCTGCCATTTGGCCTTGGCC